AACAAACTTCTCCCATGGAATGCATCTGCCACCTCTCCTATCCTACCATAACCTTAATGGGTCACACCCCAGCGCAAACCACCAGAAGCTTGAGGCAGGCATTACGTTTCCTTACGGTGCTCAAGTACCATGCTAACATACATCTCATTGCAGTTAGATTACAAGATTTCACTGCTAATAAGTCAAAATAAAAGACAAATCCAGAGTTCTCACATGTAATAACAGTTAATAATTTCAGTGCCATCACTTTGGCCTCTTTCCTCCCTCCCCCTCCTTTTTTTTCTTTCCTTAGTCAGGGAAAGCTGTACAGCCTACAAATGGAGATTTAATAGGTTTCCTACCCCCGCACCCCCTTTTTTTTTTTTGTAGCTTTACCTACAGGATATCTAAGTGTGCACTGAGATTTAACAAAAGAGTAAGAGTGTACCATGAATGATAAAAGCATCTGCTAAAAAAGTCATATACTTTATAAGTAGGTTGAAGATTTTTATTTTTGTTTTTAAATGTCTTCACTTGTATTTGATGTGCAGATTAACTAAATGCAAAACTGGTATGTTCACTAGTGATATGTTTCAATTGGTAACAACTGGAAACAAACAGGTTTTGGATGGTCTTAATTCATAAACATACCATTTAATGGCCTGAGGGGTAAAGACAGACTAGACTACTGCTCTATCTGTTACAAATATTTAAATACATTCCCTATCCAATTGCAATTCCAGCCTTCTCAAGAAGACATATAACAAGAATCATTTGACCATACACCCACTTTAATAGCCATGATTATGGAGGGAAAGATTTCCAATTTCTCAAAAGCATACAGTATTCAATGCAACATTAATTCTCATCAGTCAGATGATTTCACACATATATTATGTCATCACAACTCCTGTGTAATTTAATTCATGAAACCTGAAAGTGAGTGCTTTCAGGGGTTTTGTGTTCAGTTGATTTTTTATTTTTTTACAGTCTTGACTTCTTCAACACTGAGGTTAAAATATCCAAGAAATAAAAGAAACTCTGAAGATACTAATAACAGCTAAAACTACTTTTTAAACATTATTTGTACAAGTTATAAATTTTAACACTCATTTCTTGACTTCTAAAATTCACCTTAGAGTGCCTGTGCTTACTTTTTATAACAGTGTTGGCTCTGGGAACAATATCAGTGACACAAGAAGGGATGTATGTCATCATGAGTTCACCTATGTTCAACTTGATTTTGTGATGTTGGAACAGTTTATCCTTAGTACCAATTATTAACTCTACCATTACACTGATGACTATGGAAGCATCATAGTCTTAAGAGTCCTGGTGGTTTACGGTCTGGTTTCCCCAAGCTGTAGTCACAAACAAGGCAATTAGGGTGTGCACAATCACACGATGTACACCAACTCTGGGACTTTCAGATAGTGAAGTGTTAACTGGGAAAGGACAGCCTTTGCTCAGGCTAGTCAGCATGAGACACAGAGAGTGTATTATTTCAGATTTATGATTGCTGGTGTCTAAATTTCAAAATAAAAACGCCATAGTGTAAGAACTACTCCGGGAAGGTAGATTTGCTTTGTAGCAATGCCTTTACAGCAAGAGGCCACACCTGGAGAAAAACGTGGCAACTTCAGTTAGAAAAGACAGAAAGCTACCTTCCCAGTAACCCTTTTGCACTAGACAGCATCTATTGGGAGAATTATAATGTTCAGGATCTGCAAAGACATCTATTAAAAAAATCAGCAGCGAGTGACAAACGTGGAAAAAAAAAACAGAGGGCAAAGGTGCAAGGGGATGTCTTCCTCTGACACCAAGCAAAGGCAGAGAAAAGCAGACTGTGATCAGAACTGGTTGCTCTAGTAGGCAGCTACGAAACACACCTCCACAGCACTTAAGATTATGCCCAAATAAAACCTTTGTTAACATTTATCCCAGACTGACAAAACTTGCCGTTTATCTAAAATGTGTTGTGGCCATACTAGGAATAACACTCAAATTAAACTGTGAGTAAAGAGTCCCAGCAAGTCGAGCAGTAGTTTACATGGCAAGCAGCACGTTCTCCATCTGACCTCACTTTTAATGAGTCAAAACACATTCAAGGAAGCGTAATCTGACATCAAGCTAAAACATGCTACATACTCCCACTGGCAGTCACAACCGGTTTCGGAGAGGGAGCCAGAGAGCCCTAGTAGTTTCAAAGCCTGATTAGGGGGGCATAAACATCTGCTTCTTTAAAAAGATGCACAGGAATATATTTGAGAATAAACTGCCCTAGTAATAGAGAGTGCTTTTTGCCCCAAGCTTTCTTCAAAACTAATGAAGTTACATTAATCACCCACATGAGAACGCTTAATTTTACCCCATTTCTACTTGACAGTAAAATGGAAATATGGTAGAATTATCTTCCTTTCACAAGTCACATAACACATATTTTGGGGAGGAAAAAAAACAAGCCACAACTGTTTATCTGAATGGTATTTTTCTTCAAAACTGTCTGAATTTTGGCCATGCTATAAGCCAAATTATTTTACTATGAATTGATATAGGCTGATTTTAATTACATGATTTTCCATAACTGGTGGACTGTTTAAACAACAATAACTAACATGTGGTAGAAGAGGGGTCTCGTTTATTCACGCTGTGATTTCACTTGGGTGGGTAAGTGATACCAAGGACAATATAGAAATTATATACATATATCCATTTTACATATATAAAAATAATTCAGACTAGTAGTTCACAAAAAGTCTGAACCATGGTCAACTTGAACAAACTAAGAAATATCACTTTTACAGTGAAGTACACCTTTAACCAAGAAAAAGATAAAAAGAACGAGAAGAAAAGAAAGCTGTTCAGATTCCCATAATGGTAATTATTAAGCAGATTTTCCATGACAGAGTTAGTTGGGCTCCTGCCTAAGGTGGGATTTCTTCTTTCTGTCAATATGTAACAGACCTTTATAATAATTAAAATATAAGAAACATCTAGAATTCCCAAAGCAAGCCAGCCAGCCTTTTTTTTTTTTTTTTTGTGTGTGTGTGTGTGTGAACCCAACAAAGCATAGGTTCAGTTAGTAGTTTTATTCCCAGGTCTTCTGACCTTCAATTCAAGTGCTAAGGGATCTTTGAATGAAAGCCCCTAAACATGCACAAATGACATACAGAACAAAATGAATAAGTGTCTAAGCTCATTAGCCTGAAAAGGTTCACTGAAAAGCTTATATAATGGCAGAAAATGTACCTATAACACCAAAGCATTGTGGAGCGGCTGAACATCTGAAAGCAGAACTAAGCCTACATGGAGCTGATTGGTTGCATTTATTTTGTTCACGAAGCACAGACTACAAAACATTTCCTCTCATACCTTGTGCTCACCACCTTCAGTAATCACACTGATTTTGCTAAGCTTTTACGTGCTGATCCAGCAATAAGATCTACGTGGGCAGATCCAGCACAGGCTTACAGCATACTCATCTCTTGTTGCTCATATCTTACAGCAGATTAACCTGTCCCACAGAGTAAGTTAACATACTAAGAGAAAACAAAAAGGAGGTATTAAAATAGAGAAGCATCAAAGATGCAATTTCTAAAGTAAGCGTCGAGTTGGGCACTAGGCATGTTGCAACTTTAAGACAGTATAACTGTCATTTAAGTATGCTAAGAGCACTGAATAATTTGTTAAAATACCTACTTGATTCAGGTGAACAATGTTATAAACTGCCATCATTATCACAAGATGCAGTGTTAACATAGTACAATAACAATGTTATGAAATGTGCATAATTTATTCTTCAATACAATTCCCATTAAGTTAGTGGAGATCAACCAACCAATGTCCTTCGTGGTCAGTTTAACTTCATTGTGAACCACGAAGGTAACAGTTAATCATTAATGCAATTTATTCACCTATTCTGCTGCAGTATCCTCAATAATTACAAACAAATCAAGGAACACCTTGAAATAGGTGTTTAAAATGAGGAAAAAGCATGTGCCAAGTAAGTACGAAAGCCTGCATGAAAGCCACCGATGTGCCTTACCAGTGTTATCCTAGGAACAAAAGGATGCAGCACAGCAGCTGACATAGATGCCGGATATAGAGGAAAATAGCTCACGTCAGTGGTATTGACTCAGCCACTGAATAAACTCATTCCCACAGTCACGCTCCTCCCCCTACCCTGCTGTATCCCCATCTTAGCTGTTAACACCAGTCGCCGAATAAACTCAGTTTAACCACGAAACAAACCTGCTCCTGTTCTCCTCGGCTCGCACCGAGGCACGGCGCTAGCTCGTTCGCTACCCGATTCCCCTCAGCCCCACCGGCTGCCGCTGAGGAGCAGCCCGGCCCCGAACCCCGCCGGCCATCGCCCTCCGCGCAACATCCCGAGCGCTCACCTCGGGTTTTTTTTTTTGGCGCGCAAGCCCCTCCCGCCCACCCCCCCGCCCCTTCCACTTTCCCAGCCCCACATTCACCGCCCGCGGACACCCCACCACCCTTTTTCCCTTTATTCTCCCCCTCAGGCAGCCGCCGGTGAAGCGCTGCCCTTCCTCCCCGCCGGGCCCCCTCAGGCCGCTCCACCCGCCTCTTCCTCACGGCCCCCCCCGGCGACGGCGGCCCAGGGACGTGGGGAAGAGGAAGAGAAAAGAGGTCGCGGCCCTCACAGACTCCCCCCCTCCCCCTCCCCCGCCCCATTTGCGTCCGTTCCCACACGCTAACGGCGGCCCGGCACTCACTGTTGAGGCCCGTCTCAGTCTGCGTCCCCTCAGCCGGCGGGTTGTTGTTGTTGTTGTGCTGCGGCGGCTCCTGAGGGGCGGACATGGCGGCGGAGGCGACCGAGGAGCCGCTGGGGCTGGGACGACAACAACAAACCCGGACTCCGCTCCGGGCCCGGCCGCCCCGCCTCCTCGCACTGCGCAGGCGCGGCGGCCGCTCCCGCCCTCCAGCCCCGCCGCGCGTGCGCGCCGGGGAGCCGTGAGGGGGGAAAAGGGGCGGGGGGGGGGCGGTGTTCGGCCCAAACCGCCCTCACAGCGGCGGGAAAGGCGGGCTGCGGCCGCCTGGCGCAGCCCCATCCACCGTCCTGTCAGGAGAGACAGCGGCTGGCGTTCTCTCACCTCAGCCCTGAGCCCTTCAGCCCTTTCCCAAGACCCTGCTCCGCTTCCAGAAAGGGCAAGAGCCGCCTTCACAACTCCGTGCTGTCAAACCCCCCTCACAGTACCCATCGAGCCTCCGGCCGGGACGGATTTCCACATGTGAGAGATGGCAGGAAATCCTCCTCCCGAAGCGCGACGGGTGTGAGGTAACTTGACAAACCTACGTGGTGCAACGGGACGAGTTTCTGAAGGCTTCTTCCCCCTGTCGTCAGTCTTGCTTTTGCCTCAGGCAATTTTAAGCCAAGAAGGCGGTCCATGAAATATAGTTAAGATACTCTGAAAGAACTAATGGTCTGTAGGATTTAGAGTAATACCTACCTGAAATGATAGCATTTGGCAGACAAACCAACCTCGTGCATGGCAGGGATTTTAATTATTGGCAGTTAAGATAGCATCCGTGTAACAGAATCAGACTTGGTTTTAACCGGGATGCATAAGTATATCAACAAAAAGTGAAATTATTAGTGTAGAACATAGTTTCCCTTCAATATGAAAATGAAGAGGTAACCTTGGGCTATTTATGCACACTGGAATAACACTGGGTTTCTGTGGAAAATTTTAAAATGCAGTGAGACAGATGCAAACATCTACCTTACCCTGCTGAGTTTTCTTCAGTCATAAATAGCTTCTGTACCGATTATCTATTCTTCACTTTCATGAAATGATCATATATAGAAAATAGGGTTCTCCTAAATCATTAATTTCAAGATAGCCAATTTTATCTTGAAAATCGAGTTAATTCCTCAAGGCAGAGTGACTTTTGAATGACACTGGGTATGGCAGTTAACAGAACCTTTAACTAGGTTTTTTCTGATTCTAATCTGCTTTTCCACTCACATTCTCTAACAAAAAGAGCCAGCGAGACTAACTTCCTCACAGATGATTATTTAATTTGCCTTCCCTGCTTCAGAAGTCATGTTTACTAACTTCATTCCATTAGACATTACTTAAACTTCAAGGCTTATGTTGGGACCTAGAGTCTTTTGGGTGGAACTCTGTAACTTAAGTCCCATCTCACATACACATAAGCATTTTGCTTCCCAACAGCAGTAAAGGAGCCTTTTATATCATAAGCTCCTCCCATCAGCAGCCACAAGAATATAAATTGTGGTCTTTTACATTACTGTACTCACAGTAGGAGTTCAGTGACAGTAATACCGTCAGAGACTGAAGTCACGCAGATACATTTCCATTAGTGTTCTTTCTTTTGTTTCTCATCATTTCACATGCAAAGAAATCACCGTTTTTCTGTTTCTGTCAGAACTATTTCAAACTAGAGAAAAAGCCCATATGTACAGCTGTCAGTCCTGTACTGGCACACTTCTTTCAATGTTTTTCATCTTCTGTTCATCTATGCTACATTGACAAACACCCAAATACTGAAGTGTGGATATTTGAAACGAGCCTGAACTTTCTTACCAACTTGACTGCATACTGTGCGTGAACTGTACTGAATGTCCCACCTTGTGGAAAATCCTGATGTCTCCAGGATATCACTGGAAGAGAATTAACTACATGTAGGAAAAAGAAAGCAGTAATTTAAATAAATTAATAAAACAGCTGTTTACAGATAGAAGGGCCACAAATACATTCTAGATTGGAGTCAGAACAATGAGCTACTTAGAGTTCTGAATAGAAAACCTGCCAAGGTAACCCTATCATACTTGGCAACCCAGCGATCACAGGCCAGCATCATGAGTATTTGTCATCTCCATCATTCAGGAAGCATTTGCCATAATACTTGTGGCATGAATATTTATCAGTAAAGTGGGACTATTAGCATTTCTGAGTCAGAAATAAATTGATCAAGATTATAGAGTGAGTCAATTCAGAGCCAGAAATAGCATTCACAAGTCCTGACTTTCAGCCCAGTGCTCTAACCACTACACAGGTTCCTTAAGGCAGATGAATGATGTAATTAATGTTTGTAAAGTAATTTGAATCCCTGTATGGAAAATGCTATGACAATAGCAAGGTTGGAGAGACAGAAAACCACACGTTAATAGAACAGTGGCCATAAGCTCCTGGGAAAGGCCTTTTGTACTGAAGTGCAATAAAATGGTTTTTCTTCTAGAAAGTTATAAAAAGCCTTTAAGTTGATTCAAATCAAACAAGTAACAAGATACTTCATTTATCTCAAAGAGCTGAGTCAAGCTAAGCCCACTGTTTTATTCTCATGGTTCCAAGGTATTCTGGGTGTTTTAAGCAATTTAAAGCATTATCTAAAATCTGAAACATGCTCTGATTGCTTTTATTTTCTTCATTGAATACTATTATGCTCCCAATTACTTTTATTTCTTTCAGTGAGTACTATAATGCCCCACATCTGCAAAAAATTACTAACCTGTTGCTAAGATTGATGCCACCCCAGCATCCAGCAAGCACAAAGGCAGTCCTTTCCCTACGCACCTCGGCTGTGTTCTTTATGCTGGAGGTAATGATGATGTGTACTGGAAATGCTTTTCTTGTATTATATATTTTCTTGTATTTTATATTTAGCAGCAACTGATCGGTCCTTGCAGATGACTGGCAATTCCAGAGGACTTCGAGGGATCGTCACACCATCTAACCTGGATCCCACGCGTTGTTGAAGCGCCCGCCTCTGCAGTAATGTTTTGCCTCCTAGTGGAGAGCGCCAACAGAGAAAAACCCGCCTTGGAAAAACTGTGAGTGCTGTTTGCTTGTAAAAGAGAAACAACAGATTATTTGTTTGCAAAAGGTTTGGATTATTGTAATTCAAGGGTAGATTGTGTGGAGAAATGGAATTCACGCTGCTTCTTAGTCCCTCAACTGTAATCCAGTAGAAATAAATGCTTAGTGTTTTTATTTCAGCCACTATCCCTTTCTTTCACTGCTCATTCTTACAAGCCTAAACCTTTCCATACGAGGTTAAATAAGATGTTTGCCAAGAGGAAACAGACAAATCACTCAAGACACCAATAGTCATTACACAGCAACCTCACTTGCAGCACACCTCACTCCACCCTGATTCAGTACACCAATCCTTCTATTCACAACAGCTGATTACATGGGAAAGGGCAAAAGGAAACATCTTCTGTTCAAGTCAAAGTGTACGTTGTGAATTGGGAGGCCATACACCTTCTATACAGTCCAAGATCAAGAGCTGAAGACCAGGGCACAGGAAATTGGTTCCTATCTGTGTTGTAGACAAGAATGACCAATTTCAGAACCACCAGTAAAAAAAAAAAAAAAAAAAACCAAACAACCACACAAACAACCAAACCAAACACCACCAAAAAATACTAGTATTACATGATCCAGCAGTCCCTCTGCAGGTGATGAAAAAGTACAGGTTTCTATTTACCAGCACTAACTAAGCTTCTTCCAGTTAGGCTGAGAATAATAGAATATGTATTTAAATAACAAATGCTAGAGTAGAAGTTACAGTCCTGCCTCAACAGAACAGTAAGGGCAAGCAGGGTGGTGCTGCACATTCAACAAGTTTTCAAGGCAGCACACTTCTCAGCAGGAAAATGGTGAAGGGACTTCAACCACAGAACTTGCCTACACCTCAGCATTGTACCAGCCTGATACCCAACTTACACTGAGCATGAGTTGTGGGCAATAGAAACACTATGGTTCAGAGTATGGTTGCAATTTTACAGATAGTAACTGCTTAAGTGGTAGTAGTTGACATTTAGGTAGCATCGCTGGCTTCAAGACAGGACACTAGGGAACAGAACTCCTTTTCTACATTTAGTCTGGTATTCAAGGACTGAGAAGTGAGAATTTGCATTGGTTTTGCTGGGCACTGGGGGCACTGGAGGAGGCCGCTACAACAGAGCAGCTGCTTTTCTGTACCTGAACCTGTCAGTGGAGGGCAGAGTCACCCCACACCCCCTGCCTGGCACGCTGTGGAAGGCAAGGCCCAGAAAACACAACACAGAGGCTAGCAGAACAGGGTACCGTTCAACATGCAGTAGGGAAGAGAGAGTCATTTCAGAAATATCTGTAAATAGAGAAAATTAGAGGGACAGGAAAGAAGATAAAAAGCAACCTGACAAAATGTATTCTATGCATACTTTTATTAATAAAATATAAGATTTACAGCATATGTCAATGGACAGTGTGCTTAAAGAATTATCTGGTTGTATAGTATGACACCAAAGTCAGTAGCTGGTTTTGGTGGATAAATTAGAAGATAAATTAAACCTCAGGTAACATGCCAGGGATCACCGCTACTGACAAAACCAAAGCTTTCCCAAGACTAGCTTTAAAACCCTGGATTCCATCCCAACACGCACAGCTGAGGTCCGAGAGGCAGTTTCGCTTGAATGTAGTATTGCTAGAAGGCTGCACTGTGTTCTGTGTGAAATCTACCTGGTCAGTTCTGTGTCTTCTTCACATCCTCACCTCCTTTTGTGTCTGTGCTAATCAACTTTTCAGGCATTCAGTGCAACAGTCGGGATATAGATATACACAAGAGCAGCAGTCTTAATACCACGATCCTCAATCTTCCCAAAATAGCAGTCATTAAACCTACACCACTCTTCACAAAATGGAGATGAATTCTACCAGCTCTGATGCAAAAGCAGCGTCTAATTACCTCTTTGCCCCTGTGACAAGATAAAGAATAAACCTTGGCCCTGATCCTGTAAACACCTATACACATGATTAACATTACTCAACAAGTTGTTTCCTTAAATATTAGCAAGTATAGTCATTTGAGTAAAATTAGTCACATGCTATGTAAAAGTAGGAGTAGGGCCTACTAGTTTATTCACCCATTGGAAAACAGTTGCTGTCCCTGGGGCAGCTAAATTTTTTACAAGGCTAACAGGTGAAAAAAAAAAAGGTAAAATCCTTACAAAGGCTCATGGTCAGGCATGCATGTTACAAGACAAATACTGTATTTAAGAGAACCAGATTAATAAATATTAGATTTTTTACATTTTCAAACCACTGCACAAGGACTTAAAGAAATTAAAGTATGACTGCAATAGTAGTCTTGTTAACAACCTCTAACCCAGCCTAATTTTACAGCAGAAACAGTATCTTAGTTGATCAAATAGAGGCATTATAATAACTACCTATAACTAAGCCACAGAAATAATTTAAATATAGGTAACTGAAAAGTGAAAATTCTCCCAGTCAAGGTAAGTTCACTACGACTTTACACTTCTTTCTGAACATTTCCGTGAAGGAAGAGTAAACCTAAAAGCACAATTAGCAAAAATATCTGGAGGTAAAAACTCATGAGCCTTATAAAGCATCAATATCTAGTTCATCTTTGGATAAGCCTTATTTGCTGAAGAGTTTAAATCTCTCAAATAACTATGAACACTTATTTCATGCAGCTTCTGTACTCCACGCATTTTCTGATCGTTGCACCATTTAACATCTCTGTAAGTGCAATAACTTTGCAAAGCCAAAAGCCAGAAGAAACACTTGCATGGTAAAACCACATTTCCACTCATTTACTGATAGCAATAAAATACAGAAAATAGAGCATCTCAGAATGCAGTGTTGTAATTATCTATGTAATCACTTGTTATTTTGTACTACATCACATCATACTGCCAGACAAGAACTCGGACAACTTTTTAAAAAGCCACAGGGGACTTTGTACTCTAAACAAGGCATTAAAGGTATTGTATCCTAAAACAAGGCATTGAAGAAACCAGGACGAAACTAACCATTAAGCTGTTAGTCCCATAAAATAGATTTTAAAACCTGAAAATTCTAGTCCCGTTCCAATCTAAGCGATAGTTTACAAAACTAGCCTTCAAGGATACTGGAACAGTAACTGACCTGTTCAGATTATGGCAAAGTCTGACAGCAGTTTATGGTTTTGAAATGGAAGTGGTCAACACACACTACAGCGGGTATTCCTGTCATTCATGAATGAATGCAGATACTTGTGAAATCCCTCCCTCTCTTCATTCCCGTGAAAAATAATTAATACTGGTTAAAATCATTACAAAAAACATCATTTTATTTTCATGCATCTAAGGTAAAACACAGAGTATTTGTATAAAGAGGTAGATTAAAAAAAGAAAACAGATTCTCCATTCTTTGTCACTTTTATTCAGTAGTTTGTTGGTTTTTTTTTTGTTTGTTTGTTTGTTTTTTTGTTAGTTTTTTTCCTTATTTTCTCTTTTTTGGTGCCAGACATGGCAAGGAGTGATTACAGTCAACTGTTTATTAAAACATTTGTTGCAACACAGACCCCCTTTACCACTGACCCCAAACGGACCCATTTCATGTGCTTTATTTTATTGGGTTTGTTTTTTTTTTTTTTTTCTATACACCACCACCAAGGCTAGGTGGAGGGGGATGAAGGGGAAGGAGGAGTCCAGGAGGCCAGAAGGAGGAGGAATGCTACAAGCCACAGCAAGAATGAGCTGTATTTAATAAAAAAAGGGGGCCACGAATGATACAGTAATGAGGTTACACAATTAAATCCCATAGCATGATTGAAGGCTTTCCCTGTGTCTGACGTCATCACAATGGAAGGCATAAAAAGTGGAGTAAACCGATGTTGATACAGTCCAATCTAGTCCATTAGGCAAGATGGTGCAAGTAGTCATTTAAATTAAAAAGTGCCCTATCCTCACCTAAATGGCTAGCAGACATGGAGAAGAATGCAGTGACAGATCAACAGAGCTTTCTCCATGTAGCTATAAAAGTGTGTTGTCATATGGCACATTTTTAAACACTGGAAAGGGGTGCCATAATGGACCTCTCATTCTCTTTCGTTTACAGGTACAAATGCTAGATTCAACTATTTCAACTATGCAGGAAGTGGACTCTTCAGTTAGGAATGCCAACCCTAATTCATTTTGTCTTGAAATATATACAAGTTGTTTGTAGTAGCTACAGCAATGATGTTTTCCTTAGGATGCCAGGCTGTGTGTAGAATCTTCTTGTTGAAGTCTAGGCTGTCAACACTGATTTCATCCTTCTTTCGCTTACCACTTGCGCATACTTTACGTGGCTTCAAAACGGTGCGGGGTTTATTGTTTTCCCGGGATGCCTCTAAGGTGATGTCTCGCTTTGTGTTTCTGTCAAACATTCTGAAGAAGTTGTTGTAAGATCCCGTCATGACAATGCTGCAGAGAGGGGGAAGGAAGAAAGTAATGGTTCAGTTGAAAATAACCTCTCCTTTTAATGAAGCCTTAGGGGCCCAATGAAGATCACGCCTTACTATATAAGCAGAAAGCAGGCATCCTTGCCCATGCCTTCTACAATCTAAAGCAAAACTAAGGCATTTAAATGGTTTATAGATTAAAGAAAATATATATTCTTCCTTAACCGGACCTTTTAAGGTACACATTCTACTATCTAAGCACTTGAATTTGAAGGTCATAATTCAATTTGCTTCTCGTGGGCACACGTGGAAGTCATCTAATGAAAGCCAAATACATTAGATTTTCAGCCGTGTAGTTTTAGTTACACACAAGTTGCATGAATTCAGGTACTAACATACCTAGTTTGTGATAATACCTTATAGGGGATCCATATTCTGTATCGGCTTTTCAGTAAAACAAACACACTTAAAACTTCCCCTGTCCTTCCTTCGCCTCAAAAAAATATTTAAACAGACAGATGCTAAGTTAAAAACCCCCCACAACTATGTCTGACAATACTGATAGAGATACAATGAGCTGATTTAGATCTAGCAAATAAGCAGTTAATGGCATGATTAACACAAAAGCAATATCTGACTTAAATGGTATTATCGGCTAGTCAACCATGCCTGAGCAAGGCAAGCTTGACAACTCATCCTAAGAAGGAAAGTTCCTAGAAGGTTTTTCCCCAAGTGTTCTACCTTTTGACAAGGCGTCTTAAATACAAAAGAGACACACAGGTCC